TTATTTCTGGAAATTTCACAAAATAAGCCACAAGTGGAAGAAAAGATTATTAAATAAGAAAAAAAGGAAGAAAATAATGAGGAAAAAAAGAGTCGAAAGACAGGTTTTACACTGTAATGTAACAGCATTACCTCTAACACTTGGCTAAAGCTCTCCGAGTAGGGCACGTATTTATTGTCTTTGTCTCCCTTATAAAACCAGGTACACCGTCTTACTTCTGATGCTAGCTCATCCCAGTATACAGCATACCGCATCCTCTCCCCCAGATGAACATCATACCTGCCCCCATCAGTGGGGACAACTCTCCCATTACAATCTTTTCCTATCAAAAATTGGGAAGGGGGAAAAAAGTACATATTTAAAAATAAATCCCACAAAATGCAATTCTGAGTTAGACTCTATACAATGTTATAAAACACATGAATGAACAAGTTTCTTTTTTGCCTAACATTACATAAAATGGAATTTAACTGACAGTTTTTCACTAACCACTCTACAACTGTCAAAACCATTCTTGGTTTTAATGAAACATTAAACACACCACCAAAGCATTGCTTTGTTCTTCTTCTGAGGAGAAATAGTTGCGTCTCTTAAAAAAAAAAAAAAAACTATAAGAAGACCTCTCTGAAATTTTTGCTTGAGGGACTAAAAGGTAAATTAATGACCATCATGATGCTATAGCAGTAACCAGCACCATTCTGTTTCATAAAAGAAACAATCGACAAATTAGAGAATTCATACTTCTGTGATCCGACACTCCGCACCCCACCCTACCCCACCATACACACATACTCTTTCTAAATAAAAACCAGAGCTGAAACATAAGCTAGAACATAAGAAATATTACTGGATAGATATGCAGAAATTACAAAAGGTACTGTTTTCAAAATATAAAGCTAATGCAAAACTTCTATATAAACATGTTATAGGAGATTACTTAACTGGAAAAATCTAAAATTTATTTTTAATAGCATTCACTACAAGGTGATTACGTTATAGTTTAAGAGAGATGACAGTCTTTGTCTATTACAAGTCACCATCTCCATCCTACCAGAGCCATATGCCTCTTCCAGCTGTTGTGAATCCTCAGAGTTGAAAGGAATCCATGTCTCCTTAGAATCTATGATCTTACAGTAAAACCAATGAGGAGAAACGGGTTCATACAAACTGGCAGCATCCATGTCTATTAGCTCAAAGGAACTGCATGAGTTTGGTGATGGAGATGGATCTGACTGGGACAATTGTTCCTGGTGTGATTCCACTGATGACATCTCTCTCTCTAAAAGACAAGTTAAAAGAAAACTATCAGGAAAATGATTTTCCTTCTATTAAATGTGTAATTGTTGACATACACACTAATCATTTTAAGGGGAGTAATTTCTGTAAACAAAAAAAACAACCTAAGGGGCTACATAATTTAAAATAAAATATAACATAAATTAACAGCCGGATTTTTGAGGCGATTTAAAATACTTCTTCTAGCCAGATCAACTACTTTGCACTGAGCTCTCAATTCTCTCAGAAAACTACACAGTTTTAGTCAATGTTACAGAACAAACCCAGAATCACAAGTAATATATGGTCAAAACTTGGTTGCAACACAACATTTTCTCCCAATGTCCAATCTACACCTAGTGCCAAAGCTAGAAAATTTACTCCAACCAAGCCAGGGTGCCATGTCCTAACAATACCTAGGTTTTAGGCTCCGTACGTCCATCATTACACATTTACATGACTACTAGAATCTTAAAATACTGAAAATACAACTTTTCATTTAAGAACCAAGTTC